CCGCTGCTCGCGAGCCAGGGATTATCGGAAAAATCAAAATCTTCAAATTCAATTTCTTCTGTCGAAAACATGCTCAGCAGTATCGTAGTATATCTTCAGTACAATTTTGCAGCGTTTTCATTCATTTTTCAGGAAGATAAACGACTTTGAAAATCTGAAATGATTCCCTGGGGATCCCCAGGGGAACGGAAGAAATAGTGAATATTTAATCTTGTATAGCAGTAACCTGGCATCTTTTATGCGCAGATATAAAGGTATGAGAACCCTCATAAGCACGATAGAGAAGAAAGAAGAAAGATATCTAAAGCAGTGTGATATGGCGCTTCCTATCTCAGATCCCCTCCCCTCCCCGCGGGGATGTACGTGCATAAGGGCCTTAGTCACATCATCCTGGTCAATTCAAATTTAAGAAAAGCGGGCTGGAAAAACGCGAGGATTAAATGAGTGTTAAAAAAACATTTTTCGCTGGCGTGGCGGCAGCCCTTCTTTTGGAATTCGGAGCTAGGAGCCCCAGCCATTTTTGCTTCCTCGAGTTTTAAGTTTGATGCCAAATTTTTTTGCGTAGTTCCCAAGATTCAATAACCTTTGAAACGCCTGCACCCAAATTTATAATCTTGTTACTGAAATAGAAGAAGGCTTGCGCCTTATGACAGATGTTCAACAGTAGCTAGGCACCGAAAACGAGCGTGTCGTATTTAATGTTTCAAAATTGGCGATATTCACTTTGTGCTACAAAAACTTTGAGGGCCGCTACCTAGCCCCAGAAATCTGAAAAAATTCTACTTACAAGGAAATGGTCAGAAGAAAGTCGAAGTGACCAATAAATACAAGCTGCATACCACTAAGTGCAGCATAAAACGCTGACTCTAAATCTCTCTTCCTTATCTGCAGAGCTCATTTGTGGACGAAATTATAAGCCGTTGAAGGCTATTATTTTGCTAAGAAATTGTGCGTGTAAAGTGCAAACTTAGCCGTACAAAGCCATTCTTGGCTCGGCGTTGGATCAAAACATGCAACTAGGTCACTTCATATGACTTGTACCTAGAGGTGAGCTGAAAGAGCAATAATATGCCTAATTTTGCAGTTTTTGCATACGGTTTTTTCGCAATAAAGCTGCTCATAACTTCGCCTACAAAGGCGCTCTGCAGATAAAGAAGACCGATTTGAAATCAGCATTTTATGCTGCATCGAATGGTTTGCAGTTTGTTTGGATTGGCCACTTCGACTTCTGACCATTCCCTTGTTATCGATACTTGGTGACCCCGGCCATTGATGATGGTTTGTATATCAAAAAATGCGCCTTTTAATGCCGGTTCGAATACTGTTTTCCATATGAACCTGCACATGGAGTTATATTTATTTTTTCAAAAATGAATTGCGCTAGTGCGAGGGTGAAAATCATGCTTTCCTCTAATGCTAAATATGATCTAGATAGTATAAATACAAGGTTACACCTTTCAAGATTGTCCTCGATAGCTTTAAACGGTGATATCAAATGGTCATTTTAACTACCTGAAAGTACGCAAATTTTCTACGAAAAAAAGTTCATTTGCCTTTATAAGGTCGCTTCGCAGATTTCGAGCACAGGTTTGGAATCAGCGTTTTGAGGTGCACCTTGTGGTATACATCCCATTCCAAATGGCTCATCAAGTATCCTTTCCTTGTTAGATAATCCTTATATTACTGACAGGATTCAATATCCCATAGGAATGATGAAATAAAAAGGCATTTTACCAGATAAATTTTCTATATAAGGCAAGTGAAGCGGCAAAAGCGCTGTTTGACGCCCGAAAACGTCACAGTGTTAGTTAAGCACAAGATCCTATTCAAGGAAGTATTGTGAAGGTCATCCTGAATATCGATGATCCAAAAAGCCTGCCTCGTCCAATGTCATACTACACTCGCGAAACGCACACCCGATCTATGTGAAGGCCAACATGGTACGAAACATCTTAAGAACAAAGAAGAAATTATGCTCGTCCCCGGATTTCCAAGTGGACAACCAGATCAACGCTATTCTCGAAGATAACGGTAGTTCGGTTGACGTAATAAATACCTGGAGGCCTTACTCAAGTTCGGACGGCGTTCCACTGGCAGTATCACATCGGAGATAAGCCTGCACGACTGTTAAACAAAGTAGTACAGAAGTCTGGATTGCCAGTCAGGTTAATATTTCTACCACCACCGTCGTTGAAAGAAATTCTAACATGTACATGAGTTCATGAAAGGAAGTGCGTGTACAACCAATGTTCGTACTGCGCGGAGAAACCCATTTGTCATTTACGTTATACTGTATACATGATTACGTGTGAAGGATGTGGAGAACAATACATTGGCGAAACCAGAAGGGTCTCAACGAACACAGAAGAGCATTTATTCAGCCTGCTTCTTATCCTAAAAAGCTTCTCTAAGCACAGGACTTCGAAGCGCACCATGGAAGCAGTCCCAAACTTCAAGATCACAGTCTTACATCGCAATAAAATGAACACTCTGGAGAGGAATATTATGGAGGCTTATGAAATTAGGAAACACCAGCCGAAAATAAATAATAGAGAAGAAATGAATGAATTCTTGATACTGATTTGTTCATCAACAAGCCCATAGATGGAGAATACATTTCATTCATTACTAACAGCACTATACCACGCGGACGTCGCCTCCTGCAACTTAGCGGGCTTCATCCGCTCCCCTTACCTCCCTCACAAGGTGCGCTCTGTTTGCGTTTCTCTCTTCTCAGCCTTGCACATGTAACTTAAGGTCTGATGATGGTTTTATAAGAAACTGAAACGTCACCAATAAAGATACAAAGAGCTTTTCATCGACAATTCACTATCCAAAGTAGCATGAAGCTCAGGAATAGGAGTATACTGAAGTATTGAACGCGCAGCTTCAAACTCGGAGCTTCGTTCAAGTTACAGTTTCGGGAATAGGATCTTGTGCCCTAACTAACACTGTGACGTTTTCGGGCGTCAAACAGCGCCTTTGCCGCTTCACTTGCCTCAAATAGAAGATTTATCTGGTAAAATGCCTTTTCATTTCATCATTTCTAGGGATATTGAATCCTGTCAGTAATGTACGGATTATCTAACAAGGAAAGGATACTTGGTGAGCCATTTGGAATGGGATGCATACCACAAGGTGCACCTCAAAACGCTGATTCCAAACCTGTGCTGGAAATCTGCGAAGCGACCATATAAGGTTAAATGAACTTTTTTCGTAGAAAATTTGCGTACTTTCAGGCAGTTAAAATGACCAATTTGATATTACTGCTTAAAGCTATCGAGGAGAATCTTGAAAGGTGTAACCTTGTATTTATACTATCTAGATCATATTTAGCATTTGAAGAGGAAAGCATGATTTTCACCCTCGCACTAGCGCAATTCATTTTTGAAAAAATAAATATAACTCCATGTGCAGGTTCATATGGAAAACAGTAATCGAACCGGCATTAAAAGGCGCATTTTTTGATATACAAACCATCATGAATGGCCGGGGTCACCAAGTATCGATACCTGTAAGTAAAATTTTTTTTCAGATTTCTGGGGCTAGGTAGCGGCCCTCAAAGCTTTTGTAGCACAAAGTGAATATCGCCAATTTTGAAACATTCTCCTGTGTTATACGGGCTCCTAAATAGACTGAGCCTAAGCCCGACTCGATTTGGTCAAGTGTATACTAATTTGTACCGCGTCATCCTGGAGCTAATTAGTGGCAGAGCCAACGATGCGCCCGCTTACTCTTCCTATCACATTAAACGAGTTGTTAGCAACGATATTAGTAATATGCAGCCGTTACACAACTGTCATATAGTTTTGAGCACTGCGAGCATGCAAGTGCACTTTTCTGGACAACTTATTTGAGCTCAAGTAGTGAAAACAACAATTTGAGCAGCATTCACATCTTTGTAAAAATCTTTGAAGTTTTATTTAATCCTTCCCTTTTTTGGTTTGCGCAACTTGTGCGTTCTGCGCGTCTCAACCTCTAATGATTCGGAGTCCCAATTAACCAACCGCTGCCGAAAAGCTAATCAGTTAGAGGCGTGCACTATTTAGGCTGCTATGGCGAGCGTGCAGAAGAGCTGTCTCTGAATCTGGTCCCTTCTACTCGCACAAATTGCACTTGAATGGCCTGCAGAAAGCAACTTAGCCCGCGCTGGCAAATAGCCGGTTCTTTGTTGTGTTTCAATACCATCTACCAAGCGAGAGTCTCTTCTCAAACGTGTCCAAAGCTGTGACGCAATCTAGAGCAGAAAAATATCCCGTCTAAGTTGTTTACGCAGGTTTTCAAAACGAGGTGAAAATTTGAACCTGCATAGGCTTAAATAGAATTGAAAAGGCTTGTACTATCCAAAAATCCCAACATCCGAATTTTGGTGACACTACCTTTAAGCAATTTGGCACCGCTTGTCTTTCTCCTTCTTTCTCCAGCAGCCATGCTTACTTTTCATTTACTCTCAAAATTTCCAAATTCTCCATTTCACTTGTCTAAATCACTGAACATTTTTGAATTTTGTAGAAACAGGCAGATGAAGCAAGTCTTCCGGCAATGTATTTTTATTTTTTCAAACTTACAATTAGATTTTTCTTTAAAAGCGAATATCATACATAGCCAATATCAGATTTTCGAATCTGATAGTATTTCGAACAGTGTGCTCTCATTCACTTGCCATTAGGCTCTGACGACAGTCGATGTTTGAGTATTTTGATAAAGCAATGCAAAGCTTGCTTCATTTGTTATTGAACCTTTCCTCAAAAACGAACTGGAACTCCAGAATACAGCCAAAGTTGAACAAGGTAAAATACAGTAGCACAAATGTAGTGGTTTTCGACCAGGGAAGAGAAATTAGATTAGCAGTTGGCTAACTGAGGAAGGTACTGCTCCACGTATTGTTCAAAATATTTCTCTACCACTATCTCTAGCGATTTTTTGATAGTCTTGTAGCTGTTAATACCGATATGCCATTAATGAAAATTTTTTGGAAGAAATCTTAGATAGAGCTTTACAGAAGTCCAAATGGATCTCAACTTCTCGCCTTCGTCAAAAAACGAACCTCAACGCATTTATGGCGACAGCACATACAGTGCTCACGAATACTGCTACATAATGGATGATTTAGAAGAGCAGAGTCACAATGATCAAGGGGAGAATGCTTTTGGAAAAAACTATACACCTCCTCGGCGAGAAAGTAAGAAGTTTTGTTCCACTTCTTCTCCCTAAGACTCGTTTGATTGAGGTCATGGTTAGCAGAACAGCTGAGTTCGATTCAAACATGAGATTTTTGTCACTTGCCAATCCTAAACTGGTAGCTACAAGACAGAGTTAGCTACGAAATGTAACGTAGAAATTGTATTAGATCTAAACTGTCGCAAGGGGCGCGAAGGCTCAGCACGCGGTGCCATTTGAGAATCTTGAAAACACAGTCTCGTCTGACGTGTAAAGATTGAGGAATAGCCGTTTGTATTCGTGGAAGTACGGGAGTCTGCAGCTTCGAAATGAGTGGATGAAGAGAAATCAGGAAAATTAGAGATAGAACAACAAATGGAGGAAAAAAGAGGCTTTTTTTTGCAAGCGCCGTAGCAAAACAAAAGGTTCGAACTTGGGTTTAAGTGAATTATGAATTACTCATAGATAGAGCTATGACTTTTCCTGATTTCCAATTATGTGAGAAATGGGGTCAGTTAAGACTTTGTTTGGTTTTGCGCAATACAGGATGCTCCCAGGTTGCGCGGAAGCAACCTTAGCACTACTTACAATCCTTCCATTCGCATGGTTTTTTCATTATTTATACATCGTCGCGAAGTTATACATCAAATTTGATGGTTCAGTATTGCTTGGTGGCTGCAAACAAACTGATTGCTCATCTTTTTATACGAAAAATCATGTTTTAACATGTTGGAAATCGTGCACATAGAATCTCATGCACTAATCGTGTTTGTAACATATTAATAATGTCAGGCCCAGGGCCACCGAAGCGAAGACCGATTCGGATCAAAGGTGATCGAAGGCGCGCGATCGGACGGCAGAGAGGCCGCAGGCCAGATCTCAGTTTAGTGTTGGTTGTTTCGAGGCCACGGAGCAGTGGCGTCTGTCTTGTTTTGTTTTTATTGTTTTCTAATAAACATTTTCTGTCGTCCGTGTTCTTTGCTCGCCTAAAAGGGTATCATCCCTTACATAGGGGGCGAGCCGGTTTCTACAAATGCACTTTTCGCCGCACGTAGGGGCGAATTTCAAACTCATCGTCGTTTTGATTTCGCCTCACGTAAGGGCGAACGCCAAATTTGTCGTGTTTTTGGTGAAGAAAACTAACTAAAGTAGTTTTTGCAGAAAGAGAATGGAAGCGAGCAAAGGAGCTCAGCCATCGGAGGAGCACATGGACACAGAAAATGTAGGTTTTTATGCGAGAGACAGCATAGAGAGAAAAATTCAGAGGCTAAGAAAAGATCGGGAAAGGGGGCCTGGGAAGATAGCAAGTGAGATGATAAAGCACAAAATTTCAGCGAGGTACAAGGAAAAATACGAGATGTTCATAAGGGAGAAAGTGAGAGAGTTGAGTGAGGAACTCAATGAAGTAGCAGAACAGTGCCGTAGTTTAGAGGATGAACGGGACGATATGTCAGAAGCTATGAAAACATTAGGTATACAATCAGTTGAGGATTGGAGAGAGTTCGTAAGGGTGGCTGAGAGAAACAGGGAGATGCTGGCACAAGCATGCAATATGCTAAATACTGATGTACTTCAGATGCCGGCAGCCATCCAAGACCTCAAAAAGAAGGGAGGTGAAGTAGAAAAAGTTAAGCAAGGTGAGTCAGTGCAAATTGCAGTAGGCATAGAGCAAACGGATTATCAAAGAGATACGTTACAGCCCCAGCAGCACCATCCAAGGCGAATTGGAGTGCAGTGCGAACAAAACTTGAACAACTATGTGTCGGGATTACCCAGTTCGCATTCAAGGGACAGAAACGTGGAGCTAAGAGGTCAGCAAAATGATTTGCGATTTCTAAATTATGTGGAATCTTTCTCTTGTCCGGATCCGGGTGTTTTCTATGGGAAGCCTAACGAAAATTTCGGGGAATTTGTTAGAAAATTTAAGAGAAAGTATTAAAAAGTAATCAGAGACAAAGACACCCTTGTAGATATACTAAGCGATAATCACTTGGGTGGGCAGGCAAAGAACGTAATGAGGACATTAACACTCACAATAAGAAATAAGGGGTTTGATGAAGTGATTGAGGAGTTGGGAAAAATGCCCAAGGGATTCGGTAGCTAGTAGGATGAGGGCCATGGCTGAGCTAAGGTCTCTCAGGATCAGACCACACCAAGATGTCGCAGATTTCTGCGTTGCCTTGGAGAAGATAGGTAGATCTGCTCATCCAGACAGAGCCATGGAAGAAAACTCGGTGGAGTACGCCGAGATCCTTCTGGATAACTTAAGGGATTGGCCCGAATACGTTCAGTTGTTAGCAGCGTTACATAGGGTACCGCCTAGCGAGGCATATAGCGAAGTGAAGCAACTGGCGATTAGTATACAGAGAGCAAAAGAGATCTGGGAAGGGAAGCCGCGCACCGTTCTCAACAAGACGGAAGGCTGGAAAGAGCCACAAGTACATGGAGCAGCAAGATATGACACGGCGAGAATAGACAGACGGGAAAACAGTCCAGGCTTCCAGTACACATAACAAGGCACGGGAATGCAAACCGAGGAAGAGAGACACGCGTATGCAGGAACCTCGAAACAAAGAATGGAACCCAGATGCTTTGACTGCTTCCAAGCAGGGCATTTTGCAAGAGACTGCCCACGAAAACAGAGTAGTGAAAGGGTCGAGCAACCCTCATATGGAAACAATGTGTCTGAGATCATCAATCGGATACGAAGCTGCAAAGCGGCATCAATGAGAGTACAGAGAGGGACATTAAACGGATAGGAGAACCAATCGTGCGGGAAAGGGTAAAAGGATACAATGACAGAGTTAGAGAAAACATGAAAAGAAGCTATGACAACAACAACAAGGTGGAACCAGGCCGGCATCTTAAAGTAGGAGACCGGGTGGCCCTGGCACCAAGGGAAAAAGGCAAAACCACTCATCCATTTAGAGTTATGGATACTAGCGATAATTCAGCCCTAACAACGCGCATAGGGGAGAATACGGATCCTATACGGATACAGTTTGATAAGCTAAAAGTAGTTCCAAGTTACATACCTAATGACAGAGTTGACATTCAAACTAAGAGAGGGAAAAGGGGTAGAAAAAGAAGAATTTTATTGAGTAAGGTATGCAAAGTCAAAGTTATTAATTTCAGAGGTGCATCGCTGCTGAGCTCACTTGAAAAAGGACATCTGCTCTTCAAATGCGGAGACGACTGTTTTAAGGATCGAAAGCTTGAAGATATCGAAGGAATAAGCTTCCCGGGTTCAGTAGCAAAAGAACGCATCGAGAATCTATGGTCCGCTTGGCTTGCTTGCAGTATTTTCAGCCGAAGGGATATCGACATGGGAACGAAAATCAAGTTTCATAGAGAGGGACACATATGTTTCGATGCGGAAGCCCTGAAAGCTGTCTCGAAGCTCGTATATGATACCTGCATCGACTGGATAGACTTTCTTTGCAACACAGATGCGATTACGAAGCACGCCAGGATCGAAGGACATTCCATTGAGAGATCCTATAACGAAGCATTGCAAGCATTCCGTCGAGAGATTGAGGGACAGTCCATGAAGGAGCTACCCACCAAGTTCGGACCAGTTGGATACGCTATTTTTGAGGGAGGAAGCCCCATGGAAAGAGATGACATTCGTGGAAGAGTGGCTACAAAAGTAGCAACGACGTTCGCTAGACTGCTTGACGTTAAAAGGATGGAGCACTTACAAAGCTTGGGTAATAGTGTGGCCATTGGATAGTAATCCAGCCATGAAGTTCCGCAGAAGATGATGGTAGCAGCGAAGAAATACCTTGAGGAGGGCGGAAAAATAGTCACCGCATGGCCACCGATAACGTCGAAGAATCGTGATTTGTGGCGTGAACTGTCGGGATTATGGAAGACTTTTGATGAGACGCTGACACAGTGCGACAAGGAAAGTGAAGTCTTCACTACAGCGAGCAACTTCGGGATGAAAGGGAAGCTGTTTATAGAGGCAGGAGCCCCGGAAGGAGGCGCGCAGTTCTTCAACAATTACGTGGGAACCGCCATGAATAAGTATATTTACGAATGTATCAGAAGACGAGCAGTGGATGCTCATTTGCCCGGACTGGACGTTTACAGACCGCGCATCAGGACATCGAGGGCGATGTCTCCAGGCGGGGAGGGCGTATCAGGCCCAGGGCTACCGAAGCGAAAACTGATTTAGATCAAAGGTGATCGAAGGCGCGCGATCGGACGGCAGAGAGGCCGCAGGCCAGATCTCAGTTTAGTGTTGGTTGTTTCGACGCCGTTCAACTGGGTGTAAAGCATGCGATCGCAGTCGACGAAGTCTATCATTAGCGGCCAGAAAAACGCAGTTGTAGTAGATTATTTATTTTGATGGGGACCTCAAACATCAATTTTGACATACGCAGCTGTGAAACTTCATAAATACACTTTCGTAGTTCAATCAGATTCAAACTCTGATGATGATTTGGCTGTACGGATGTCAGAGTCGTTGGGATCTGCATGTGCGTATAACCAGGGTCAAGCGTCAGACGTGGCACACCACGCATGGCGGGGGGGGGATTGATGAGTTAGAGAAGGGAGGGGGTCGAACAGAGGTGACATTGGTAATAATGGACTTGTGGTTTTCGTTAACAACATGTCAGATAACCCCATCGTGCAAGTAGAAGACACTGGAAATGGGCACCTAATTTTACCCTGAGCATAGGAAAGGGGTCTTATCGAAAACCCCCTCAATCCAAGTTTCAACGAATTCTAAAGTTTTCAAATACTAGGACAGCCAGTATAAATGGTCATTTTCAAACATGGCTAAATCTGTTTCGAAGGTGAGTTAGTTACCTCTTTTTGAACTCAGTTACTCCTCCTTGCTAGCACAGATCGCGTATCTCACTTCAAATAAGGCGAAGCATTCGAATTAGGACTCCTGCCAAAATCTCGCCTATCCCAATTTCCGTTCCTATGGATGTGCTTTTAGCGATTATCACCCGGATAAATAAAGACGTATCAATTGCAAATCAATTCTGTGAGAACTACAAAATTTGT